TCTCTCTCTCTCTCTCTCTCTCTCTCTCTCTCTCTCTCTCTTCTTTCTTACACACACACACACACATTGTCACATATTGTCCATCTATCTGTCTATCTGTGTGTGTGCGCGCGCGCGCGCGTGTGTGTGTATGTATGTGAGTGGGTGGTTGGTTGGAGGAGGTCACTTCTCTCTCTCTCTCTCTCTCTCTCTCTCTCTCTCTCTCTCTCTCTCTCTCTCTCTCTCTCTCTCTCTCTCTCTCTCTCTCTCTCTCTCTCTCTCTCTCATGTCATGGTCTAGAGGTCACGGTGCTCGCATCTCATTCGGTGGGTCCCAGGTTCGAAACCTGAAGGCGACGGAAAATTTTCTTCTCTGAAATATTTTCCTTTCACCTCCTTTTCATCTGCTTTCCTCTCCACTTTATGCTTTCTACTGCTACTCCTGACTTCTTCTTAATACTGTCTTTCAACCACACCCCTGAATTTAGGGTAGATAAGATTGAACTCCTTGCCTTCGGCCTTCTCAGATACGGGCAAAACATTTTCGGAGGTCCCTCCCGGGTACAAGTTGCGCACATTAAAGATCACACTTGGTTGTTCTAAAAAAAACCCGACGAGAGTAGGCTTCTACGGCCAACGGGAAAAATTCAAAATTAATTCCTACCAAACTGAACATGTTTAAGTTAATGTGTCTCCTGGGCGCTCACATGGCCTTATGCAGTTGCAAGCGCCATAAAACATTTACCAAAACAAAACATTCTCTATCTATCTATCTATCTATCTATCTATCTATCTATCTATCTATCTATCTATCTATCTATCTATCTATCTATCTGTCTGTCTGTCTGTCTGTCTGTCTGTCACACACACACACACACACACACACACACACACACACACACATACACACACACACACACACACACACACACACACACACACACACACATACACGCACAGATATACACACTGTCCTAGATATCTGTGCGTGAATGAGTGTGTTATTGTGTCTGTGTCCTCCTTGATATATATATGGTTGCTTTTAAGCCCAAGGGGCCAATCCCGAAAACTGCCGTTTTGAGAAGATCGAAGGTTAAGTTTTGCCCCTTATTCAGTTTCTTTAAAAGACAAGGAGACTTTTCTCTACAACCAAACAAATATACACACCAGTGAAACCAAACTTCTTCTATGGGTAGGGCAATGGACATTTTTGGAGTAGGTCAAGATTTCTGGAAACCCCCGAAATCTTGGATAGCCCGCTGGAAGCGACCATATGTGCATGGTGTATGTGTGTGTGTGTGTGTGTGTGTGTGTGTGTGTGTGTGTGTGTGTGTGTGTGTGTGTGTGTGTGTGTGTGTGTGTGTGTGTTTGCTACTGTGTGTGTCAGTGTCTATGTGAGTCTGTGTGTGTGTGTGTGTGTGTGTGTGTTTTGTTTCCCCGTCTATCTTTCTCTCTCCCAGCAATAAATAATCGTTTTTCTCCAACTCAAACAACATTCGCGTGTCGAACCGCAACAATAACCCCCATTATAGTGAATATCGATACCACCAGCGCATACCCCCCCCCCCCCCCTCAACAACAAAAAACCACACTAGAAGGTCGATACCACAGAGTTGGCGGGGCGAACAGCTGATCTCGTGCATGCGCCGGGAAGGCCGGCTCAGGCGTGACCTACTTCTCGAGATTCTGCTCCCGCCCCTGGCTGGACTTGGGCGCAGAAGCAGCTGAGCTGGGAGGCGGGAGGTGCGAAGCGAAGTCAGTTGTCTGCAGATCTTCTTGCAGCGGGTTCATTGAGCCCTTGGACTTAAGGCAGGGTTGTGTGTACGTGCGTGTTATAATTTCTTCTTTGTGTTTTGAGTGAGCTGGTACATGTTGTACATTGGTGTTTGGTGATCTCACGGCTGGAGATTGAGCGCGCTCTGCACCATGGGAGAGGTGGAACCGGACAAGGAGAGGAGAGGAGAGGGCAGCGTTCTTCCGCCCAAAGGTAGGAGGATAATTATTTAAAAGCTGTGGTGACCGTTATTTTTGTCTCTCGCTCACGTGCTCTAGCTCGCACTCCACCAACATCCTCCTTCCGCGTCTCTCTCTCTCTCTCTCTCTCTCTCTCTCTCTCTCTCTCTCTCTCTCTCTCTCTCTTTCTGTGTGTGTGTGTGTGTCTCTCTCTCTCTGCCCCCCCCCCCTTTATCTTTCTCCCTGTCGTCTCCCCCCCCCCTCTCTCTAATCTCTCTGTCTCTCTCTGTCTCTCTCTCCCTCTCTCTCTGTCTC